GGGCCCGACCATGTGGCTCAGAAGCGGCTGGAAGGGCCCACGGGGAGTTTGGGAAGGTGGGGGTGCAGCCAGAGAAGCCCTGGAACTCTGCAGGGTGATTCTGGTCAGAGCTCAGAGAACAGAATGCTGATGGGTAGGAAGGACAGTGCTCCTGAGGTTTCGGATGCGAAGGAGGACTCTACTGGGAGTTGACTAGAGGCCACGTGTGTTCCATATGGGCAGAGAACTTGCCTACAATTGGCTGGGTCCTGAGACCCCCTGGAAGGCTGAGTTTACAGGTGATGGAATAGTTTATATGGTGGAGGGAATTTCAAGACAGCCCAGTATTCCGATTGTGGTGTGAATACTGCTGGCTGCTTTTAGCCAGATTAAGAGTGAATATAAGGAGCAAAAAGCAGAGCCAAAGACTTGAGAAGCTTGCACTTTGGCCAGAAAAGCAGTGCGTTCAAGTCAGGGCCAAAGAGGTTAGGGTTACTGAGGAGAAGCCAAGCACTTTGCACTGAGACACGGGGAGGCAGCTTCAAGGCATCTCGGGAATTGGTCAGGCCCCACTCTCCATGGCTCACGGGTGTGAAAATGTAAAGCTGTGTGAAAGACCTTGCTTTGAGAAGAGAGCACCAAGCATTTGCACCCAGGGGTCCTGCTCCCAGGCCCAGTCCTCTCCCTGAGGTTAGCCTTCCAGGCACTCAAAGGCTGCTGCAGCCACAGTCCAAGGGGGGCCAACTACTGCTTGAGCTGAGAGCACATTTTGGTATTATCCATGTGATACTGGCTTCGCAGGCATGCAGAATGCAAAAGTTACAAGGTCACAGAGGCTGTCATTGAGATTTCAGAGGGAGGCTTGGGAGTCCAGGCTGTGCATCACAGAGTTGGGATTCCTGCCAGGAGCTCCTAAGAGGCTGATGCATAAAGCTCTGGGAGTGAAGCCAAAGGTGCAGTGGAGACCCCTGGACGTTAGAGGTGTCAGGTTCACTTTTTTTTTTTTTTCTTTTTTCGTGGAGGCGATCGAACTCGGGACCTTGCGTTTGCGAGGCCGGCACCGGAACCACTGAGCTAAATCCCCAGGCCCCGTTAGAGGTGTCAGGAATGTGGAACATCTGCTGAGGAAAGCTGCAGGCATTCACTAATGGAGCCAGGCCAGGGGAGAGGCCCTTCGGACTGTAACCAGCAAGGCCATAGGGACAGGGCCAACCAAGCCTTTTGGAGCTTACAGCTTACTGCCATGAGCCCTGGGTGCTGGACAGGAGGCTATCAGAGTCAGTGTTTGTCCTGCTGGTTTTTGGTCTTGCTTGGGTCTGGTTCCTTTCTATTCCTGTTCTTCCCTTTGGAGCAGCAATGTTTACCCTATGCCATTGGGAACATGTAACCTGCTTTTTGAGTTTTATAGGGGCTTACAGCTGAGAGTTTGCTTTGTGTTGAATTGAGACTCTGAGGAAGGAAATAATGCATTATAGGCTGTACACAGGATAACTGTATCATCTTAGCAAAATTATGAAGTTGTTATTGTCTCTAGAGATTAAGTATGGTTTAAGGAGACGGGCTTGGGTGTCAGCTTGATGAGGGATGGACTGTGACGTAATGGTTTATCTCGATTGTCACCTTGATTGGCCTGAGAAATGCCTAGATTAGTAAAGCAACTTGTGGGTATGTCTGTGTGGGCCATGGTGGTGTGGCCTGGGGGACTATATCTGGTCCCTGACCCTTCCTCTGGGGTTATTTCCTTGTCTCTCTGCTTCTTGGCCATCAAGTGTTTCCTCCACCAGCATCCTTCCCCTATGATGTTTCTGACTTAGAACCAGCCAACCATGGACTGAATCCTCTGAAACCATGAACCAAAATAAACCTCTCCTCTAAGCAGTGGTCATTAGGTATTTTGTCTCAGGATGGAGAGGTGACTAAAATGAGCTTGGACTCCAGCCTGTAGGACGATGGGACATAGATGTCTGTCGTTTAAGCCACTCGGGCTGTAGGGCTCTGGCACAGCGCTGGAGCAAACTAATGGCAAAGAACGTGACACTGAGGGGTGTGGGTCTTCGAGGCAGATGCAGAAGTCTTCCCACTGGGCTGGGTGGCAGCAGGTCCCAGCTAAAGTCTGGGTGTCTGTCTTGTGGTCTAAATGGTGGGCAGGAGAAGATCTGCCTCCGTCCCTCTTGTCACCAGGAAGTAAGAGCCATGAGGTGTGCTGCTGATGTGGAGGTCAGGACTCTGGCTCTTGCAGCCAGTATGCAAAGCCACAGGCATCTCTTCCTTGCTGGCAGCATTGGCAAAGACAAGGGCTGCATGCCATGGGTGGGAAGACAGGGTGTGGAGGCTTTGTTTCCCCCAGCAGCCTCCCTGGCAGGAAAGCCGACTGCCCGTTGGGTGACCACAGGCTGCAGTGACCATGAGTACTGGTCACTCAAAGCAGCTGTGCGAAGACCAGTGTGTGTCTGTCCCCAGCAAGGCTTTGACCCTGAGAAGGCAGTGTGTGTGCCTGTGTGTACATGCACATCTGTGCTGTGAATGCACACGTGTGGCCCGTGGGCATCCTCCCAGAGGGAAGTGACGTTCGACCCCAGCCAGGGACCAGCTTTTCGGGGTAGGGGTGGGGGTGTCAGCTCCCTCCTGAGAGCCCAGGGTGGCTGGAATAACCGATTCCCTGCATTTATTTGTTTCTTCTGAAATAAGGCTTCTCTTTGGTTCTAATGAGTAGCTTTTCCTAAAGAGAAACAGTAATAGCAGCAGAAACGTAAGTAGACTCTGTAAACTTGTAATCACGCATGTCAAACACAGTGTGGTATTTTCCCCTGTAAAATAGAAACGGCAGGAAGTCATCTACACTGCATGCGGAAAATTGTGTTTCTCTGACAGAAGTTAATTCTAAACTAAGTATTCCCCGAAAGAAAGGCAGGGAAACATTTTTACATGTCTACCATTCGTCCTTAGAGGACTCAAAACAAATATGTTTCTCAGCGTTTGACACTGGCATCATTCGGGCGGCCTCAGGCTATGTGCTGTTTTCCAGTTGGTGGAGTCGGAGGATGAGAAAACAGCGCTGCATTAAGAGGAACACGTTGTTCAGGTTAATCAGAGCCAGGCGGAAGTAGGGCGCTGCTGCCTGCGAAGGCCTAGAGCGGCGGGGGAGGGGAAGCCGGGGGATTTACCTCCAGCTCCTGCTTCGGGGCCCCCAGAGCCGCTGGGGAGGAAGCTCCTCAGGAAGGGGGTGGTGCTCACGAGCACCCGCTTCCCAGAAAGGGGGGCTTCCTCAGAGCAGGTGCCCAGGGCCGTGAGGTGGCAGACCTTTCTGCAGGGGTGGTGGAAATGCTGGGCAGAGGGGGCCGTGGGGAGTCAGGGAGACAGCTGGGATTCTGGGGATGAAACCCAGGCCCCCACAAGTGTGAGGCAAAAGCTGTGCCCCTGAGCCACACGGCAGCTGCAGAGGGGGCTCCTGCGATGAGGCCACTCTCCACCCGGACTCTGGAGGGTCCACAGAGTGCGGCTGGCCCTCCCCTCCCCGCTGGGACAGCTCTCTGTCAGGCCAGTGCTGTAAGATCTCCTGCTCCAGGCACTTGGAGGAGGAGGTGGGATACTGCTCCCAGGGAGGGGTCTAAGCCCTGACACACCGTCTCTCTGCATAGGGCAGCACAGGCTCCCTTGGAGCTCTCGGAGATCCTCCTGCCTCAGCCTCTCGAGTGCTTGGATTACAGGTGGGCACCACCACCCTGGGCTCTTCTCGATGAATTTTAGCTTCCGAAAGTTTCTGTTCTGATCCTGAGGTCTGTGTCTTCTTTCCTTGGTCCTGCGACTGAGTATCAGAACCTTAGAAACCCAAAGTCCATGCAACAGAATCACCCCGGGTCATGGCTGGGGCAGGGGTTCTGGAGCAGGGCGCCCTTTCCTACCCGGGTCCAGCAGGGGCCGCAGGGTGGCCGGCTCCGGGTGCCACCATGGCACTGACCTCCTCTTACCACGTCCCTGCCACCCACTTCCTCCCTGCATCTCAGCCTGGTCCGGGTGGGGCACAGGCCCTGCAGGGCTGGATGCCGGCCTCAGAGCACATGGGCCTTCCTGACTCCCATAGGGAGACCACTGCTGGCCGCTGGGTCCCAAAGACAGCCCCAGGCTGAGGCTCCCACCTCCTGCCGAGGGCCTGCAAGGTCTCAGAGCGCCTTCCTGGCTCTGCCCTCTGCCCCCTTCGGACCTTCTTTCCCATCCAGGGCCCTCCCCTCCCCCAGTCACCAGAACCCCCCACCCTGTCCCCTTCCATCCCTGTCTCCACCCGAATGACGACTGGGCCCCACTAGGTGGCCCTAACCCTAACCCTAACCGGTCCGGCCACCACTGGCCTGGGGAACGGCAGGGCCACCACCCTCAGCCCAGGGGCTGCATGCTGCACCCCAGCAAAGGAGCCGTGGGCAGCCTCAGAAATGCTGTGGGGGGACCCATGCCCCCTCCTCCCGGGCCCCTGAGGACAAAGGGCAGCACTGTCTGCACAGAGAGCTGCCCCCTTCCCCCAGACACAGCAGGACCACGGACCGCCCTGCTCCCGGGGGTCGCTCTGGGGAGACCCAGCGAGTGGGGACTGGTGCTCAGCTTGTTCTCCTCTGCAGGCCCAGAGACGGGACACACACTCTGGGGGGCCCCATCCTGCCTCCTCCCTATCTTACCCCGGCACAGGGGCCAGGACCACGGATACCAGGCCTATCGTCGGGGCAGGGCCTGGAATGGTGCCCTGGTGACCCGGTGGACGGTGAGACTCAGGAGGGCCCCCATGGCAGCTGGGCCCTAGGACATAGAGTGGCCTGCAGAACTGCAGGCAGAAGCTTGGGGGTCTGGGTGCAACCCGCCCCAGCCAGGGACAAGGTGGTCCTTTCCAGCCTCCTTCTGTTCCTGCCCGAACCCAAGGCCCACACCCAGGGCCCCTAAAAGACCCCAAGGCAAGGAGACCGGCAGCACCCCAGGCCTGGGTCAGAGCAGACGTGGAGCGGGCGGCTTCTAGGACTCTGCTCGGGCCCAGCAGCATGGGGGTCACACCTGCCACCGTGCCTGCCGTGAGGAGGCCCAGCCGGCCTGACAAGAAGCCGCGCGGGAAGGACCTGGCCTGGCTGCCCCACAGCCCACGACACAGGCCTCCCTGTCCTGTGCGACATCAGCACCTGCGCCCTCGGGACCGAGGCGGCCAGAGTGGGCACAGCACAGCCTGGGCAGGCGCCGCCCCAGGTCCTCCCCAGCTGCCCTTAGGAAAGAGGCCCGTCCCCGACAGCCCTGGGGACGCCCTCCCGAGCATGGCGGGTTCTCCCGGCAGCAGACGCCTTGGTTGCCTCGCCAGCCACATGGTGACTAAGGCCTCTGACCCAGCTCGGGTCCCTCCTGGGACCCATGGCCTGCACAGGACCCGCCTCTCTGTCCTGCTTTGGGTGCCGCCTTGGGACTGCCGGGTCCTCATTCTCCTGAGAAACTCCTACCCACCCGTCAAGGCCCAGCTGTTCAGAATGGAATGCGGCCTCTGTGCTGCATGGCCAGGCCTCTTCCGAGCTTCTGAGTCCCTAAGCGTGTGGCGTGTGCCAGTGCACATGCATGCACGCACACCACGCGTGCACACACAAACATGCACATGTGACCATCTGTTGCATGTGTGCAAGCACACGGCTCCACAATCCACTCATGGCTGCACATGAGCACACTGGACACGTGTGCACACACAAGTGCACACACACAACACACCACCCATGTGCCCATGTCTGCACATCTCAAGTGCTCACAGACACTGGCGGTTATAGACCACCTGTGCACTCATGTGCGACAGAAACACAACACACTAATGCTCTCTGCTCTGCCTTCTGCACCGCCCCAGGGGATCCCTGCAAACACCTCGGGGTGGGCCTGCTCCTGGGGTCCCTAAGGAGAGTTTTGAGGTGGTAACCTGACTTGGGCTCTGGACTTTGGAGCGGCCTCAGGGACCCTCTGCAGCCTGGATGCCCCCACCCCAAGCAGGGCGAGAGCCACATCCTGGGAATCTGGGCTTCGGAGGTGGCCTCAGGGTGGAGGCTCCCGCCTGGCACCACTCCACATTGCGGCTCACCTATAAATAACGGCGGCGACAGGTCAGCCGTCAGCACCCGCTGATGGACGGCACTGCTCCTGCCATTACAGCCTTGTGACTGTGGGAAATTAATTTAAGTGGTAGTTAATTTCTAATGAATTCCACTCAGGCGGCTAATGTGGTCCCTGGGTGTTATGGTAACCTTCACGGATCATCGCGTTATGTAAATAAATTCTACTTTAGGCTGGTTTTTTAAAAAAGAGTGAAGAGTAGGAAGTTTGCAGAATCTCTGCACATGCCCACGCTGGTCACGGCGGGGACACTTTAAGGAGGGAAACCAAACCCTCAGGCATTCTCCTGGGAGGGCGACTCCCCAGACTGGTAACCTGCCTGTTTTCAGGGCTCTGCTCACATCCCAAACCCCATGTTTGTGCGGTTCTGGCTCTATTTCAAGGAGAAAGGGGGATTTCTCCCATATGCCAGGGACGTGATGACATGCTGAGGAGCATGTCACTCTAAAGCTGGGGTGCGGGTGAGCTGGCAGGGCCTTGCCCCGGAAGCCGGAGGGGACGGGACAGGAATGAAGCTGGGGGTGGGAGCGGGGGGCGGGCTGGCTCAGGCTCAGAGGTCTAGCGGGGGCAGCTCTGGGCGTCCCAGGTACTTGGGGCCCAGTGTGGGTGTGTGAGCTCCCGAGGGTGGCACAGGGCTTCCTCTCCAGGCCAGACGGTGGGTGCTGAGGCCAACGGTCACAGCAGAGGCTGAGCCAGGGCAGTGCCCACCACTCACACGGAGTGGGCATCAATCTGCTCAGGCAAACTGGGGCAGCCTGCTGTGCGTGGTGAGCCTCCCCAAGCTCCGGACTCCCCGAAACCTCCAGCTCCGCTCTTCACCTGTCATACAGGGAGCCCCTCCTGTCCCTGCAGGAGCTGCCTACCTCTCACCACCGAGCCCTGGGCTCTTTCCTGTCTTGTCACCTGGCCTCCTTGGGTGCTTTTCCTGGGTCCCCTGTGCTGCGGTCCTGTAGCCCAGGGCTCTGTCCTTGTGTGTTCTGGTCAGCCGGGGCAGGCGCTTACCATAGCAACAGTCGCTGTTTTCTCAAGAGGTGGGATAATGCGGCTCAGGGTCCCCGCACAGTGGCCATCAGCAGGTGGCTGTGCCTGGACCCTACCAAAGTGTGGTTGTTCTCGCTCCTGGCCCGGAAGTCACCCCTGGGTTCCCATTGCTGTCTGAAAGGCGACTCCCTGGGCACCTGGGGATTGTTGAGCCCCTGGTGCGGCCACATAGGTCCCTGCGCCAGAGCAGAAGCTGTAGAGGCTCAACACTGCCCAGTTCCATTCCTAGAGACGCCACAGAAGCTACCCTGGCTGGAGGTGAGGGACGCAGACTTCACCCACGAATGGAAGGCTGCTGAATGCTGGGGAGGCTCCGGGGTGCTCTGGTGTCTGTGGCCACCATGCCAGGCTGGCTCCAGGTCACGTCCACTCCCCTTCCAGCCATGTGGCAAGTCTGGCTTGGAGCACTGGCCTCAGCTGACCTGGCCACGGCTGTATCCAGCGGGTGACCACCCCAGGGTTCTGTCCCCGCAGGCCTCCCAGGTACCTGATTGTTCTCACAGGGGCTGGCTTCAGGGGTGGGGAGAGGCTCAGCTCCACCAGCTCCTGAGTGGACCGCTCAGCTCTGGCAGGAGAGATAGCTTAGCTGTCTCCGCCAGGGAGTGGGACCCAGGCTGTGGCCCCATTGCCTCTGTGGCCCGTGAGGCCTGGGCTTCCTGAGGCTGGGTGGGCACAAGCTCAGTGACCGCCCAACAGTATACTACGTAGGGGTCACACCAGGCTGTCAGGACTGGAGGTTGGCCTGAGAATTCTGGATTTTTTGGGGAGGCCCAGAAAGAAGGGTGTCGGGAGACCTGGAGCAGCAGGTGGCGGTGGAACGGCCTCTCCCTTCAGGAAGCTGCCATGGGACTCGAAGGTGTGGTGTGGGTGGCCTGGGGAGACCCGGCTCTCAGGGGTGGGAGGTGGGTGAGTGCCCGGTACCCTGGCCCTGTGAGGCAGAGTCTGACAGTCCCCTCTGCTCTGGTAGTGGCCTTAACCAAGTGGCCTCTGTTGGTGCCTCTGACCCACCCGTCACTCCTGCTGGGCCACCGCCCGGTCCCTGCCCTGGGACCTGGGCCTATGGGTCCTCCGTGTCCACCCTGCCCTCTACTGAGCACAGCCCTGCAGTGCTGTCTTTGAAGACCTTGCCAGACCTGCCACGTCTGGTCCAGCCTGACCATCTTGCAGACGCCTAAGGTAGGCAAAGCAATGTGGCTGGCTGTCCCTCACCTGAGCTCTGACCAGGTCTCTCAGGCCTTGGCTCTGGGGTTTGAGGAGAGAAAGGTGCTGCCAGAGACCTGCGTACAGATCCTACTCTCCTGGGGCCCCCAGGGTTCTAGGACCCAGCTGCTGCAAGCCCAGACAGGCTACACCTTCCTCCCCCATGACCAAGTTCCCAGCACCCTCAGCCTAGAGCTGTGGCCCATCAGCCCCCGGTCTCTCATACCTAGCTTCCTGACTTGATGGCTCTTTCTAGCTCTGAGTTTCTATTTCTCTCTGCAGGCCAAGGTCTGGTGCTCCCAGCACAGCTGCTCCTCCTGTGCGTCGTCTTTGGTGTCCCATGTCCCACCTGAAAGGCAGTCCTGAACTGTGGCTCAGGGCTTGGACTTCAATTCCAACTCTGCTCCTAACCAGCACTGTGACCTGGGGTCTTGTGTGCCTCAATTTCTTTGTCTGTAAGGTGGAAAATGTGGAGTATCAGAATTACGTCAGGAGTCAGAAAAGTACGACTTGGAGCAAGCATGTGACACACTGCCTGTTGCCAGGCTTCTGCCTGTTATCAGTAGACTCTTTCCATCCTCGTGCTTCCTAGTTTCCCAGTAAAGTTCTTTCTTAACAAACATAACCCTCTGGAAGAGCTTAACCCTGCACCTCCCTGACTGCTGGCTGCAGGTGGGACAGCTCTCTGCACTGGTGTCATGGTGATGGTCTGGAATCAGTGAACTGTGCCAGAAGAACCTCAAGTTCCCTGGGTTTGCAAGATTTATTAACTTGGGGCTCACAGCAGGTGACCAACCAGGTCCCAGAGACCCTCCTTCCGAGCAGCACAGGTCCCCACTGGCTTTTCAACACTGACAAACGTAGTCTCCCCAAACGCTGGGACCACAGTGCTCTCCCCCGATACTGTAGATTCCTCTCTGAAGCCATCAGTATATTTGTCTGCTTGCCATTTTTCTTTGAGTGGATTAACTGACTGGCACTTTCCGAAAGCCCCAACTTGCTGGCCTGAGGTACATCACCACTCCAGGCCAAGGATGACAAGCATGCTTAACTGCTAACCAAAATGCATTTATTCATAAACGAATGCGTTTCCTATGAGTTACAGGTTGTTGTGCTTGTCTTTCACCCTTGTCCTCAGAGGGAAGGCAGGGACGAGGTGTTCTCACGCACATCAGGTAAGGGGCTGTGGACTCCGCTCTGCTGGGGAGCCTGTGCTGAGATGCAGCATGAACCAGCTTTGCCCAGGACAAACAGGGCGCGCAAGGTACAGAAAGCCCTTCCCGGCGGGGTCTGGCATGTCCTGTCCAGATCTGGGTTGGTAAAAAGCACTGAAAGGAAGGCCGGGAGCTAACTCAGCAGAGCCCACGACCAGCAGGCGCGATACAGCAGAGCCCCCAAGCTGTACTTTGCTTCGATACGGCCGAGAATGTTCTCTGGGTGGCGCAGTCTACACCATCTGCCGCTGCTTGTGCTTGGGGTTGGTCTTGCAGAGGACGTACCAGCGCCCGTTCCGCTTCACCAGGTAGCAGTCCCGACACCGCTTTCTAAGCACCGCCTTGGACTTGAAGCCCAGCGCGGGCGGCGGCGGTGGCCGCAGGCTGCGGAGGAGCAGCGGGGCGCGGGGCCCGGCGCCCCCGGGGGCCCCAGCCAGCCCCGAGAAGAGGGCGCGGGGCGTCCCCGGGCAGGCGCGCAGGTGTCGCGAGCGCTGTGCGACGGCAGCCAGCACGGTCCTGAGCAGCAGGGCGGCCATGGCACGCGGACCTGCGGGGGAGAGGAAAGCGGTGGCGCCGGCCCGCAAGTCCCAGCCCGTCCCCGTCAGTCCCCTCCACTGCAGACCACTCCCCCCGGGCCCCGCCGCTAGAGGCGAGGGCGGCAGCGTCGGAGCGCCGGGCCCAGCCTCAGGTCAGCCACCCCCGGTCAGAGTGCCCCGGCCCTCCCCGTTGGGAGGGCACTGTCGGCGCGGGGCCTCCACCCGCCCTAGAGACCCGCTTGCCCTCGCTCCCCCGCCCGCCCAGCCGGCCCCCCACTACCCCATCCTCCAGACACGCGAAACCGAACCTAGGAAAAGGACGCCAGGCCACACACTGCGGTCAGTGCCTGCGCCTTCTCTAAGGAGAGCGCCCGCGCCTGCGTAGTGGGCGACGAGGCCTCTGCCAGGAAGAAAGATGGCGGATGGCCACGGGAGAGGTGGGCAGAGAGAGGCGCAGGCGCACTGGGCCGCCACGCCCCCAACACACCCCCGCCTGGGTTCCTGCCCTACCCAGGAAAAAATGCACAAGTAGGATCGAAGAAGCATATCCAGAATGGTAAAAAAAATTACGTACAGCCAATTAGACTGGCAAATACCAACGTCTAAACAAAAAGTGGAAAGATCGGGTTTCCGTGCAGTGCCACCCAGGCAGCCGTGTGAAGTCTGTGGAAACGGACCAGCCAGCGACCCTGGCCGGTTACGGCTAAACGCGTTTTCTCGCGGGATGGAGAGCTCCAGACTTACGGAGAAGTGAACGAGCTGGGCAGTGGACCCCCGCGTGGCCACCGCCCAAGCTCTGCGCGGCCGGGTCTCCCGAGCCCATCCCACTGTTCATGTAAAGAGCCCCAGGGCCGAGTGCACGCCCGCGCCCGGCCGGGGAGCGCCAGGGCCCGCAGTCGTGTTGGCTCCGGACGCCGTTCCCTACCCCCTTTCGGGGGCTTTTTGGCGCACTGCTGTTTCACTGCCCCTCCCTCTTCATCATCCCCCGGGCCTGGGGGCCGTCGCTGAGGCCTCGTCCCTGGAGGGACCTGGTCCTCGGCTTCTGGCCGCGGCAGAGGACACCGGAGGCCCCCGCGTCCAGGCCGTGGGTGCCGCACCTCCTGCCCGCACCTGACCCCTGGGGCCCGCGTGCGCCCGCCCTGCTGGGTCCGGGGCCCGCTGAGCACCTGGCTCCCCGTGGCGGGCCCGAGTGACTGCCACCCGAAGGCCCTGTGCACGGCTCCCGCACAGCCGGCTTGCGGGACAGGGCCGAGCCTGTAGGCGAAGCAGCAGCCGGCTGCGGCTGGAATGTGCGCCGTGATTGGCTCTACATAAGATGGGCCTTTTTCGAGGTGTGTCTGCTCGCGGGGTAAACACCAACTGTAGTTTACGGGCAGCTTTATTGGGCTCTGTGGCAGAAATCCCGGAACGCTGAACATCTGCGACGGGAACGCGCTTCCAGTTTCTTCTAAGAATCGATTTCTTCACCCAATAAAAACATTTGATATTTAAACTTCTCAGGATTATCGACTGACAAGAGAATACAGTGCACCTTCACTTTTCAACTTTCCTTGCCTCGTCCCCCAAACAGGAAGCGCCACCCAGCCACTAAGTGCTGAACACTGCGAACGCCTGTTGCTCGTTGCGAGGTGGAATCCAACCAGAGGCTGCACCTGCCAGCCGAACTGCGTAGCGCATGTTCAACCGCCCCACCGCCTGATCGCGCGCCTCCTCCGGGCGAAATAAGTCCCGGAAACAGGTCCCGCCGGAAGCCGGGAGCGTGCGTCGGCGCACAGAATGACAGAATGGGTCAGGGGTCACCGGCAAGATGGCGGCGGCAGTGACCTTCTGCCGGCTAGTGGCGCTGCCCCGGGCCGTTCGCGCTTTCGGGGTGCGGGTGTCGCCGACTGGGGAGAAGATCACGCACACGGGCCAGGTAACTGCGGCAGCCGACACCCGCGGCTCAGGCCCGGGGCTGGACCGTGGCCAGAGCTCGCGGAGAGTGGGTGGCCGGATAGCGTCTGCGGGATCCTCGCCCTGAGCCTCCCGGGGCTGCGACTTGTGCTTGAGCCGATGTCATTCGCTCACTCCTGCTCCGGGTCCCACACGCACACGCCCACTCGCCTGTCGGCCGCGGCTGACCTTCCAGTGCTGCCCAGTGGGCTGCGGTGGCCGCTGCAGAGAGCCTTCCATGGGGACTCTAACCACCATTTCTTTGGATCAGAGTTTTTGATGCTTGTGTCATATTAAATCGTAAAGTTTAATGATTCGAGGGTCTGCTGAGTGCACATAACAGCTCTCAACTATCATGTTGAGCGGACAGATGGAAAAGAAGGGACTAAAATGGCACCTAGTATATTGAGAGGGGGAAATGAAGCTACGTGGGGCTTAAAGTGAAAGGAGGTTGGGGGTTCTCCCTCTGTCAGGATCGCCTCAGGCCTCCACCTTCCCGGGCCACTCAGACTTGCTGCCTTCCTGTTAGATCATCCTTATTGGGAGTCTTGCTGAGAAATGCGACTGCATGTACAAGTGCATTTCATCCTCTTTGTTGGTGACTCATTGTTAATGGCCTAAAATGTCAAGAAAAACACTTTCCTATAATAATACTTAGGTTGATATTAAGTGACCACTTTCAGAATTAGGCAGTAAAAAATCACAGATGGTCTTTTTTTCCTTCAGGTTTATGATGATAAAGACTACAGGAAAATTCGGTTTGTAGGTCGTCAGAAAGAGGTGAGTAAAAGACCTAGTAAAAGAGTGGTAAGCATTCATAAAACTTATAGAGGTTGAGCATCCCTAATCCAAGCACCTGAAATGCACCAAAATCCAAAACTTTCTGAGCGTGGGCATGTTGCTCTAAGTGGAGAATCCACACTTGACCTCATGAGGTAGGTCTCGGTCAAAAGACAGGCGTATTAAAAGTTATGTATGGGGTTATTTTCAGGCTGTGTGTAAGATGTAAAGAAACATAAATGAATTCGGTGTTTAGACTTGGGTTCCATCCCCAAGATATCTCATTATGTATTTGCAAATATTCCAAAATCCAAAACACTTCTAGTCCCAAGCATTTTAGAAAAGGGCGGTTCAACCTCTGTCACCAACAAGAAGTGAAAATTAACGTATAAGACTTAAATCCTGGGAGGGATGGAGGGGTTGAAGGGAGGGCAGAGGAAGGGGGAAAAATAAGAACCAAGAGAGATTATGTAAAGATGCAAATTTCCAGTGATGAATGTCATTATATTGTATACCTAAAATGTACCAATAAAATTTAAAAAAGACTTAAATCCTTCCCATATCTCAAGCACCCTAGAAGCTCTTGAGTTCTGAATGTTCATTGGGTTTGTTTTTTCCTTCTAAAATGTATAACGAAACATCTATAACCATAGCATCCTATGACCATTTATACATGAGAATGACCTTTGTTTTCATTTCTGGGTCTCAGATTATTCTTTTAATCACCTCTTGAGGTATGCTCTTCATGGTTTTCACTATATTAGGCTGTGTTCTCACAGGGACACTGGCCAGCTGAAATGACTTCTCTGGGTGGGACTAACTCCTCCACACATTGCAAGGGAAGATGGGTTAGTTCCCACACCCATGACCGTGCTGCTGGAGAACACTGAGGATGGGGTATTTTGTTGACATGAGCCTGTTTCTTATCTGAGTCTCTCTCTCACTCTTGTCCCCAGCTCCCTATTCTCACTCCTGTTAGTTCCGGCAGACCTCCAGCTTCCCTGAGTGGTTTTGGTCTTCCATGTTCACCTTAAGTCACTCTTCTTTCTACCTCAGGCGTCTCTGAATCAGTGCTTCCCCTTTGCCTCTGCTTGTGGCTGCATTGTTCTGTCCCAGTGCCTGGTATTTCCATGACAACATCTGTTTGGGAGCTACAGGGCATTATGGAGCAGCTCTCTTGTTGGCCACTGGCCGTTATAATTCATGTTCTCAGATTTCAGCTGGTTGGCTGTTGTGTGACTGCTGAATGGGGCTAGAGAAGTTTGTATTCCCTGTTGGCTGTGTGCTAGTGCTGTGCAGCGCTGGGCCGGGAAGGATGCTGAGGCCCACTCCCGGTTCGGAGGAAGAGTGGTGTGAAGCGGCTCAGGTCATGCTGGGTGTGGTGGTGCAGAGAGGTGTGTGTAGCATCTGCCTCCGGTGGGTAATAGCCATGTGCATTTGCAGGCTGCAGGCTTTGCACTGAATCTCAGCACAGGTTAGTGCCCTGGAAGTTTTCTCATATGTAAATTGGAAACCTTGTGGATATTTTTTGTAGCGTTTGTCATTATAAGCATCCTATGGGATAATGCAGATGGCCTTGCAAGCTCTTAGTGTGAGCAGCGATCCTCCTCCCTGTCCTCAGAGCCTTCTTGGTTCATTTCTCAGCCGTTACTGTATTCCTGGCTTCATTCCTGCTGTATTGTGTTGCGGCCCTGGTTCTGAAGCGCTGTGTTTTGCACCAAGGAGCGCATGGTGTTGGGAATGGGGCGTCTGTTCTTTCACATGGTCAGCACAGTCAGGCTTTCCAGCTAGGTGTGGGAGCGTGACGTTTGGAAGTTGGTACTGTGGTGTTGAGAGGGTGAGCAGGACTGTAGTTTGCCTTTGGTGGGGTCTCATGGAGTCAGGGCGGTTGGCTCAGTGCGGGGCAGCATCCACTCCAGGTGTCCTGGCAGGGGCAGGTGGTTGATGGGAGCTGGACTCCACATCCTCGCTGGGCGGATGTGCTATGCCAGCAGTGCCGTGGGCTGAGCAGCCAGGAAGCAGGTGGGTCCTGTCACCTGCCCTAGACCTGGTCCTTTTCTTAGCAAGGGGACGTAGCTCCCCGTCAGAGATGCCTCTGCTGGAAATTCTTTGTGTGGTGGGCAAAGGAAAGGGTAATGGGGAGCCCCCAACATGTGGGAATAGGACAGCAAGCCTGCCTGCCCCCAGTGGATGCAGCTGTCCCCTCCGGTGTCCCAGAACCCTGCCTGCTGCAGCATCACGGGGAGGGGCATATCTCACACCCTCCAAGTACTTGGCATCCTGCCTGGGAAGCGGCATCCTGCTCAGGCTTTATTTCTTCCAAAAGAAAATGTTCTTTTTTTAATTTAAAAACTGAAAAAATGTTTTTGGTAGGGAATCATGCTGGGGATACAACCCATGGCCTTGGTTATGCCAGGCAAGTGCTTTGCTGCTAGGCTACACCCCCAGCCCCAAAGAGATTATTTTTTAGAATCGTTTCAGGTTTGCAGAAAAGCTGCGGAGAAAGTGCAGCGTCCCCATAGACCCCTCCTCGCTGACGTGGCCTCGTGAGTTCGGAGGGTAGTGCACACCTGCAGACGGCACAGCGTGTGTGGCTCTGGGTCTGGGGAGGTGTGGCCTGGCCTGTACCCGCTGTTGCTGTGGTACCCAGAGTCGCTCGCTGCCCTCCACATCTGTGCTCTGCCTGTTCATCCTCCCCGGGGCGCCCTCTGGCCACCTCTCATCTGTCCCTAGTTCCAGCAGTATTTTAAGAAAAGGTCAGTGCGAGCCTCGCCTGAAGGCCCCGGGGAACAGGACTTGAGGCGTTGAGCTGGCTCTGCAGGGAGGCTGGGCAGCTTCACTGTGAGGCGCCTGCCAGTCCTGACCCGACACGGTGGCTGCCCTGGCTTGCAAGTGCCTGGTGCCCTCTGCTCTCGTTCCTCTGCAGTCAGACTCCTGCTGTGGGAAGCGAGCCCTTCGGTCCTCCAGTGCTGGTGCAGTGGGACTGAAAGTGGGATGACCGCCAGCCCCTGGTGGTAGGGCCTC